TGACAAGAACAAATTGTGTAGTGAGTCGGTTCATGTCGCCGTATCTAAACAAAAAATGTGTCGTTAGAAGCTGTCGGCAGTTTTCTTTGACACTCTTCGAAGCTATGGTGCTACGAAGGGCTCCCGCGTTTTACCAAAAGTGGTCTTGAAAGATTTTGGCAGATCGAAGAAAACACTCTGCAAAGCAGAGCACAGAAAAATTAAATGTATAATTAACTAACAGAAGCGTAGCGTAGCTCCTGACGAATTAGTTCGGCCCAGTGAAGTGTGGAGGGATGGTCAGTTGGCATCATAGAGGTAGGGAACGGGGGTTGCCGTTATAGCATTTCAACTCATGACTTCTTTGCGCAAACACGTACACGGACACAAGGAAAAGAGGCAAACAACACGGGCGCAAACTCACAACTGGTTTATTCTGAACAACGAACTGTACTTATATCTTCACGTAGCCCAGACGCCCCCCCATCGGTGGATCCAGGAACAAATGAGATAACCCAAAGCAAGCTTATTCAGCGCTACGTCATGAGGTAGCTTTGAAAGGCACGTGCTACAATCCGTCTGCAGATGCGTGAACTCTTCAATTTTTTGCCGTTTTTTCGTGGTTCTTATCATGACGTAGCGCTGAATAAGCTTGCTTTGGGTTATCTCGTTTGTTCCTGGATCCACCGATGGGGGGGCGTCTGGGCTACGTGAAGATATAAGTACAGTTCGTTGTTCAGAATAAACCAGTTGTGAGTTTGCGCCCGTGTTGTTTGCCTCTTTTCCTTGTGTCCGTGTACGTGTTTGCGCAAAGAAGTCATGAATGAGTACCAACTTGCCCAACTTTCAGTACTGTTGCATTTCAACTATTTGCTCCCTCCCCCACTTCTCCATCGGCCCCCCAATGTGTTAAAACAGTTGACAAGAGGTTTTTACGGTTCAAGTGCCAGCTGGATAGCAGATGGGGAGTCTGTTTTACAATAGCATGCTACCTTTATAAAATTTTCCCGTCCGCGATCGTCATGCGGGGCTTGGCAAGGAGCATTTCAATATGGTGTAGTGCCACCATCACCATCATCATTTCTCAATCACCGCGCCGCGCCTCTCGCGCAGCTGATGCTAGCTCGAGCTGCGCGAGGATTAGAACAAGCTAGCGGACTTGGTGTGTCGGACCATAGCCTCCTCTATAACTTTGTGCCCGAGCGGTCGGTCCCTCAGCGCCGTCCCCCGAGCTATTATGGGATGCGAGCGCTCCTGGCGGAGCGCCGAGGCGCAAAACGAGAGAATGGATGGCAGCTATGGAGAAAAAACCGGCTTTGAGTAACTACCGAAAGGGCAAAAATGAAATAAGGAGGGAGGCATTTTACGATAATTCAAGGGGAAGCGCTTTACTGTTTGAAGCGAGATCGGGTTGCCTTAGAACGCGTAGTTATAAAGCAAGATTCAGTAAAGAAGAAGAACAATGCACATGCTGCGGGAAAGATAAGGAAACGGCGGAGCATGTTCTGATTCAATGTGGAGATATCCACCCAGGTGTACTCCTGTATCCGTCAACTGAGCTCGTAATGGTTCTAAATTCTCTAAAGAATTACGCGGAAGTTTTCCTCGCAAGAGCGAGAAAGATGAATCAGCCACTGAAGGCTGCCGTTGACAACGCCGCGCAAATACTACAGAAACGTGACAAACTCAAGTGCTCGACCCCGGGACATCATAAAAAACTTTTGGAGGTTGTGCTCGTGAAGTTTCTCCGCCCACTTTTTCTGAACTTCGCGACGAGTGTGACTGACAAACACGACTTGGCAAAAGATTTTCATGTCAAACCATTGTCTCGAAAAGTGCTCAAGCTTTGAGCGCGAAATCAAATAACAAAGCTCACATTGCATTCTGCATACAGTGCTTGTGTTAAAAATTTGGTGTGTGCGCACTTCTTAACGTATACGCATAATCCAATGCAATGTAGACGGTTTCTAGACCGTCATAAACGCAAGCGTGCATAGGCCGCGTCGTCTGCTGTTATTATGGGATCGGTGCGGCATCTGGCGGCGAGCGCCAAAACTATAAGGGACGGATGGCGCGTATGTATTTAGCGCTAATGCGCGGGCACAAAAAAATATAGGAGGCTATGGTCGGACGTGGAAAGCCACGCGGCTCCGCTTCAGGCGTGGAATAAAGTGGCGAGAGAACGACACGACCACGTTGACCGCCGTCCCGTCTTCCTCTCCCGCTACATTGGTGACCCGGAGAACACGCCCTTCGCCGAGCGGCCCGCGGCCATGTTCCCGCAACTCTGCCCGCCAGTGCCGCCGTTCCAATCGACCTACCCCAAGGTATGGTTCATGCAGCTCGATGCCGTTCTTGCGCTGAATGGCGTCACAGACCAGCCGCTGATGCACGCCATTCTTCATGACGCCCTTCCGGTAGAGTTGCGTCATAACTCTGCCACTTCAACCTCCAGCCAGCAGCCTTACGATGACCTCTGCTCTGCGGTGCTTGCCAGCTATGGCCTCACCTACCACCCGCTGCCGTTTAACCGCGACTTTCAGGTTTTCCCTGCGTCGCAGCGTGCTGGACTCTCCGGCCCGAAGCTCTCATCTGACCGCAACCTAACTTCCCCGACAACGTCTCCCTCCACCTTGGGTCCGGCCACTAGCGCAGTGAGTCTCGCACCCGGTCACAGATCCGACGAGGTTCTTGAAGTCGTTCCTGCTGCCGACAACCTGTCCACCACGAAGTGCGTTTTTTCGAAGTCCTCGGACGATGGTCCTTCTGGCATGCTTGCTACCTCCATGTTTTCCACGAAAGCGACGGCACGTGACACCGTGGCCCCACCAGAATCCATGACGACCACCTTGCCGCCCGCATCGGAGTCTGGCACAGGTGACCTTTTGCCCGTTATTGACTTCCCGACCTCGAAGCTTTCGCCTTCAACAACGTCCGATAAACGAGACTTAACCTCTCGTCTGGCCACTAGCGACGCGTGTCCTGCGCCCGACTGCCCATCCGCCAAGGTTCCCGACATTTGGGCTGAATGCGACCAGTCAGCCACGAGGTTTGTGTTTTCATCGTCCTCGGCCGACGACGCTGCAGGCATGCTTACCACCGGCTCGTCTCGGCCGACCTCCATGGCTCACAACACGGCTGACACGTCAGGTTCTACGACGGCAACTTCACCGAACGCCCTGGTGGCTACCATGACGTTGGGCATTGTCACGCCCGCTATTCACCTCCCGGTTGCGGAACCTTCACCCTCCCCGATGTCCGAAGGCGACTGTCGACCAGCCTCAATGTTCTGCACGTCCTGCCAGCAACGACAACCATCCTCCTCGCAGTTTCCCGCAGCTGAAGTTAAAGCCACAAGCCATCAACCACGGCCAAGTTTCCAAGACGCTGCGACTATGACTGACGCGCTTGAGGACGACGTGCCCGGTCCGCTTCAGACAGGGCTCACCAGGCATGCAACGCCTGCGGTAGAGCAATCTAAGGGGTGTTGGCTGGAAGCAGCCATCAATTATGCAGACCTGCACGCCAACCCTCGTGCGCGGACTACCGGAGGTCATTACACGAGCACAGGTGTCCCGTCCAATACTCCGGGCGAGCCCACGCTGACTGGGTTCCACCACCACCATTCCCCGGAGCCTTTGCCTCCGGACGGCAACAACCAGACGTGTGTCCACAAGGCCAGCTCGTGTGTCACAACCACGACGACGCTCATACCTCATACGTGTCTACCACCCATTACCCTACGTCGGCGACGACAACGTGCTGGGCGTCACACATTGCGGCAACTTTTGAGCCGCCCTGCTACGCAGCTACGAGTTTTGTCACAGCCCTGAAGACGGCGCAAGCGCCTACTCGGCCTATCCGACGCAAGGTCCCACCACTAGTCGTGTACCCGACTACCCACCGTACACTTAGCGGCATTGTTAGGACACGTTCCTGCGTGCGTCGGCACGTCTATCTATACCGGCACGTCAGACGCCGCTCGACTTTGAGGTCTGTGTTGCGTCTACCCCAACGTCAAAACCCGCACTGCCAACCCTCTGCCGACGTTAGCAGCATGACCTCGCGACAAACGGTCCACTCTCGGCCTGTCCGACCAGGTCATCGTGAGACCCGCCTGTCGGCAACCACAGCGACCCGGCACTTCCTTCTTCGTCCCTTGCGCTTCTCCCAGAGGCCCCCACCGGAGACACACTGCTTACCGATGGCCTATAAACGTTGACAACCTGAACTTGCCAAATGAACACTTTATGGATTGTCGTTCATGTATATAGCATTTGTCATATGCCTTCAAATCGCGCTAGGGGGTGGGGGGGGGGGAGCCCTGTAGTGCCACCATCACCATCATCATTTCTCAATCACCGCGCCGCGCCTCTCGCGCAGCTGATGCTAGCTCGAGCTGCGCGAGGATTAGAACAAGCTAGCGCAGTTGGCGTATCGGACGTGGAAAGCCACGCCGCTCTGCTTCAGGCGTGGAATAAAGTGGCGAGAGAACGACACGACCACGTTGGCCGCCGTCCCATCTTCCTCTCCCGCTACAATGGCATGACGTGAAAACTTTGAGCGGGCCTGTCACCTTAAAGGAGTTGATTATATTCGCTCAGCACTTGCGCAGCCGGGAGGGGGTTCCAAAACCCACCCACTGAAATTTCGGTTTCTGATACAACGCGCACACGAACATGGCTAAATAATCCCAAGAAAAAAAATTCCCGTCTATGCTGCAGTCAGTCACTCCGAGTTTCACAAAACTGTGAGACTCTGCGCTTCCGCTATTATAAAAGAAATGAAAAAAGAAAGAAAGGAAAGAAAGCGAATACGCTTGTCCATGTCTCTCAGTGTAATCCTAACTAACCTATTGCGTCCAAACACTACGGCCATATGAACCAACCTTACACATAAAATGCGCAAGATAAAATGATTGTGTCACTAGCGACGCGTACGCCACAATTATTGTAGTGGATGGTTTTTGCTACGCATGCGCGTCCCTCCAGCCGCAGCGCCTACTATACGCGATCACATAGCTCACGTCTGCATCAAGCTTCAGATACGTGCGTGTGTGCCTTAAGGTCGTCGTTGTTGGGTATATTTACGTTCCCACATGTGTCGCTAATCGTTAAGTAAACCATAGTGCTGCTAGTGTAAATTAGGAGAGAGAAATTGTGTACCTCTGATGTAAGTTACCTCGTCGAATTTGTTGATCTAAGGTAAGTACCACTTTGCACCGACGATATGTGTGTGCTTGTACCTTGCGGAATGCTGAATGGCACTCCCTGAATATGATCCACCTAATGCCAGGCATATATAAGTGATTAAATCTGCGTTATTGAGGTTAGAATTCGTCGTGTTGTGAATGTTGAAGCTGTCACATCGGTGTGTCAACAATGAATCGAGGGGCGAGTATTTTTGACCCGTGGGTGTTTCGTACACATGTTCGTTCAATATGTCTAACTTCAACTCGTTTTAGACAATGTAGTTGGCTCGTCGTAGAACGTTTCAGAGAAATAGATCGGTTCCACAATGGAGTTTTGGACGCAAACATTTGCCGTGCTGACAAACCTGCAAAGTGCGTACTGATGCGAGCGTCACCATGGGGAGGGTGTTGTCACTTTCTGCGGACGTAGTGGGGCAATTCAGACTGCATTAACCATCAACAAATGTATTGCGCTCTAGAGGGCCAGGGGGAGCTCGCGTCTTTTGCGAGGTTTGCTCTGTGAACATTTCTCGCGTTTCGTGGGCTGTCTTCCAACGTTATTTTGGAAAGTAATTAGTTTCTTTTTTTAACAGCTTAAGTGAACGAGGAGTGGCATTCGTTGAAGGTTGCAATCGTACTCTATATTCTGTGTGGTGAGCTGTTTGTATATGCCACGGAACCCCTCCGCGCTGGTCCAGTGGCTAAGGTTCTCGGCTGCTGACCCGCAGGTCGCGGGATTGAATCCCGGCTGCGGCGGCTGCATTTTCGATGGAAGCAAAAATGCTGTAGGCCTGTGTGCTCGGATTCGGGTGCCGTTAAAAACCCCTGGTGGTCGGAATTTCTGGAGCCCTCCTCTACGGCGTCTTTCATAATCGTATGGTGGTTTTCGGATGTAAAACCTCGCATATAAATCGTGTATGTCATGGATGCAGAGTACCAACAAGCAAATTTTCGGTGTTCGACGATGTTGGGCGGCGTATAGCATGGAAGCATATTGCTCGTATACTTCTACTGCCCTTGCCTCTGTCACTCACTGTTTCTTTTCCTCTGTCATTTTTCGTTGAGTTTGTTTTATAAAAATGGAGAGAAAATAACATATCGCGTAAGGGGCTATGGGAACGTGGCTGAAGTAAAACGCGTTGTCTAGACGAGAGGTTCCTTCATTTCCAGCTTCTAGTAGATTCATTTTTGCATGTGTGCCTGTCTGTTACTTCGCTTATGTTACTTAATTCCAGAACGACCTCTTCAATGCATAGGCATTCATCAATCCCACTGCTCAAGAAAGAGTTGAACTTTTATCGAGCCGATATTACTTCAGAATATTTAATTCTACGACACATTGTCTTCTGTTTTGGTACCATGGTGCGGCGTTCTCCTGCTGATCAGAAAGTTGCCTCTTGGATCCCTCATAATCATATCGAAGTTTTGCCCCATAATAGCCAAGAAATTATAGTTAATTCGACGATCCATTGTGGGAGTGTAAGGAAGGTTGCTCATGAAGATAACTATACGTTTACAAACTGTGTTGCCAAACATTTTGTACAATATGCCCTCGAAGTATTTAGCTTATTGCCTTAATAGTTTTTGCTCTACATCACTGCTTATGCTTGATCGGAATGGAGCTTGTCTTTGGTAGAGGGGGTGATAGGAATCATAGAAGGCAGCAACTCGGAGGGGCAAGAGAACGAGTGCAGGGCGAGAAAAAGATAGAGCAGAGAAGTACAAGGAAATGAACGAAATAAAGATGAAACATGAAAGACATACAAAGGAAAACAAAGAAACAGACACCAAAAAGGAATTAAAAAGACTGAGAGCTAGACAGAATGCTGGTGCAGGATGCGGACAAGTCACAAATTGTGAGAAAGGCGGTGTACGTATTGCAGATATATGTAATCACGCCCACGTGAAAACATATGCATATGTCTGAGCACGCTCTCAAAGGCGAAATTCTTCACGCATGATCACAGTGTCTCGGTTTATTCTTTCCGTTTCTTGTCCACTATCGCTTTGTGCGTTTCACCGCGAAAAATGAAAAGAATTTTGTACCTTCATTATGATAACTGTCTGTCCAGTAATGCAGCGGAATTCGTTTGATTGGCTTATGATATGCGTGTGTTATTTTTTTTCTCAGGCTGCTTGGACATCACTCCGCACGCAGTTTCAAAGTTCTGTACGACACAAGCACATCAGAAGCGCACTTCAAGGCACTACTCATTGTTGCAAGCATGTCTGGGGATGCATCTGCAGAAGACGTCGAGCTTAGTGACGTCCTCAAGAAAGGGCTCCGTGCGAGCACAGACGCCAATGCCTGCCCGGGCACCGTTGGCGACGTCTTAGCCGGTGCCCTAAGGTTGGAGTACAAGCCCGACCTCACAATAGACGAAGCCAGAGTTCTGCGGCGAGCTTTCAGCACCGAGGGCTTCGTCAAGCACTTGAAGCTCTCTGGATTGCCGTTGGACGTCTGCAAGGTTGTTCTGGAAGGCCTTGACGAGTCCTCGTCACTCGAGGAACTGGAACTATTCAACATTGAAAGCAACGACGAGGATTTCACGCTGAACCTGTCAGGGATCTTTGACAACCTTCGTGTGCTGCGCCTGTCATGCAGCGATATTGACGACCAGTTCGCTATGGACGTCGCGTTCTTCTTGCAAGACAACACTCGCTTGGAAGAGCTCAGCCTGTGCTACAGTGACATCAGTGACGATGGGGCCACTTCGCTCGCAGAGTCGCTCGCGATAAATAGCACGCTCAGAAAAGTAGTACTCGCCAACAACGCCCTCACCTCCCGCACCCTCATCGCCTTCGCGGAGGCGCTCACCGTCAACACGACTATCGAGATGGTAGACATCTTCGAAGTGGACATGGAGGAGGAAGATGTCGCAGTCCTGTTCCTGGACGGCAGGTATGCGGACATCTTCAAGAGAATGTACATCTTGTGGAAGGAGGACTTCCTTCCGCAGCTGACCAGGCTGCTACGGGAGGACAGACACTGCACAGACGTTTCCATTGAAGTAACAAATTCAGTGCCGGAAGGGCACCTGTTGGAGTTCTTCGACGCTGTTGCGAATAACGTGACCGTGCGAACGCTGCACATCAACCCAAGCGGGGACAAAGCTTTCGGAGCTCTCACCGATGGTCTTGTGTCCGTCTTGGAGCGAACCACGACTCTCACTCGCATTAAGAACTTGATGTCCGTGGACAGGACCGACGATACGCTGGTGATCCGGGTACTGGACGCCCTGCGGGATAACCGGTCGGTGACAACGCTCGCCATGTGCGCGGAGCAGCTGACACCTCTGATCGCAGCGTCCCTCTCGGAACTTCTGGCCACCAATGACGTCTTGAACGACATCAGCATCTGCGACGACTTGGAAGTAAGGAGCGAAGAGCTCGTCGTCATACTGGAGGGCCTCAGGAAGAACTACACGGTGACGCATCTCATGGTGGCGTGTGATCCGGATGAGGACGTTGAAGGTGTGTCTGAGATGGCAGAGCTCCTGGACAGGAACGTGCGTCTTCTAGACAGAGCAGTCGAGTTTGTCAGAGCGGGAAGCAGTGGCATCGAAGATGAGGAAGGTGCAGATGCTCTCAAAAAAGTGCACTGTAGCGCGTCCCTTGTTGAGAAGCTGCAAAAGTTCACCGGAAAGACGAAGGAAGATGTGATGGCTGATATAGAGGCCGCGCTTAGCGGTGCTCAGTGCTGAACTGTTCCAGACTCCAATGTCATTCGCTTGCCCTCAAGATATATCAGCGCAGCTTACTATGTAAATATGCTACTTACGGTGCATGGGGATCGCTAAATAGTGCGCAAAATTGGCATTACTTTCGTAATAAATTATGTGAAGTACAACCTTATGCAAGAAGAAGCGTTTACACCTATATTTTTTCTTAAATATTATGCACATCCAAGGTGCTGCACTATTTAAAGGCAATATTTGCTTTTAAAAATCCCTCACTTGCAAGACACTGGCAGAATAAATGCTATTCAAAGCAAAGGGACTCATTCGTGATGCATTGCTTAATCTAAAGCAATCACATGAATTGACTTATTTATTCATATTGAGCAGTTGTATGTCTGACGTGGACGAGGATCTAAGTATGATAGCTTATCGCAATACCAGCCGTCTTGTTCAAGCACACTGGCATCGGCAGTGTGGTGCAAAAGGAGAAACTGTCCCCTTCAAGCCACAGCTGAAATGCAAATACAACAGAGGTTTGCACCTCCCCCCATTTAAAGCAACATCCTGCTGCTGCCAACGTTCAAGTGTAAAGGTCAGTTTCAGAAAGAATAGATGCCCACTCTTATGCGCTGACGTACGAGCGTATCAAAATCGTTTGTTGGCAGGCTTCTGCGAGGTCAAGCAATCGTGTGTTAGTGTCATAGCAGGTGGGCTTCACTTGTGTGGCATCATGTTTTTCACTTGTGTGTCGTAATACTCCCTCATTTATTTTTTGTTCCTCGGTGAAATGCAAGCAGTCCCTTTACTTATATTTAGTGCACGTTATAGAACTTCAGGTGGTAGATGGCGATTCGGTCCTCAATATCTCAATATGGCATTGCTCATAATCATATCAGTGTCTTCACACGTAATACCAAAGAATGTAAATGAAATATCGCCTATACAGCACTTGGCAAGTCATTACAACAACACTAGAGTGAAAATAAAACATATAAAACAAAAAGCTTATTTAGAAGCGGATAGAAGCAAATCCGGGACACTTTCGTTAATGCTCTTTCCTACACTCACATTGAAATTAATTACACATCTTTTTTAAAAGAGGCTCTTGATTATTAGTTCGTAGAAGCAATATAGGAAGCATTAACGTTAGGCCTATATATGGGGAGCAGCCACCAACTGCAGATAAAATATAAATGGTCCATATTCTAACATCGTCATGCAAACATAATTGGTATGTGCAATATCATTATATAATCAAGCTACTACCCAGACTTGGTGCTATTTCAGATGAAAGGTTTCGCCCTTCTTCATGAAACAAACAAAAAAACACGCTTAATACAATACCCAGTGACACAGAAAGAGCGCACCCGAAAATGATGCCACAAGAATACGACTGTGAAAAAGTCAGAAGAGGACGAAAATCTACATGTTCTTGAGCAAAACCAGCAAAGGTCCTCCTGTCTTGGGCTACGTACCTAGCTGCACTAAAATACCGTTTTCTACCGGCGCTCATGGAGGATGGGATGCAAAGTACTTTTTTTTTTCGCTAGGAATGAAAGCCCACGGTATTTCCTAAAATGGGCTTCTAAATGTCCTCACATAAGTTACTGTCTCGAACTTAACTGTGAAGCTCACTGTCAGCTGACTGAGTTTGCGCAGCATCACGTCACTCTTTAAATTCCTCAAGAAATTTACGTTTCGCTGGGGGTTCATTATCTGGCTGGACCGTGCTCGTTTCTTCTTATGCGAAACGCGAAACATAGGTTTTCATCATCATCATTTATTTTACCCTTAAAGGCCTCTCTCGGGGCATTACATAAGGGGGGGGGGGAACAATCCAAGTACAAATTTCAATGAAAATGCAGTTCATGGTTACAGTTTTTGAATTACTAAAACATACAGGTAGCAACAAAAAGAAAACAGAGCAGGTCAAACGAAATATTCAACAGTCAATTCGCGGTCCAAAATATACAGGCGGCAGAGAACAAACAACAAAGAAAGACAAACAGCGATTAAGAGTCAAGGGTAGCTAGTAATAAATCTCTAAATTTAACAGCAACTTGTTCGCTGACAATAGCATCCGTCAAACCGTTCCACTCATCGATAGCCGTAGGAAGAAATGATTTATTAAAAGCGTTAGTAGAACCAAACAGACGTTGGATACTCGGGGAATTAAATAGGCGACGAGATGTTCGGACAGGCGGAAGTAAAAGTGAGCCATGTAGGTGAGGAAAGCTGTAGTAAAGTTTGTGAAAAAGACAGAGACGTGAAATTTTGCGTCGAGCTGACAAAACAGGGAGACCGAGGGATGATTCGATTTGACTGATGCTTGCTCGTTTGTCGTAATTTGCGGAGATGAATCTGGCGGCACGATTTTGGACGGATTCAAGAATGTTAATTAGGTATATCTGATGAGGGCTCCAAATTGCAGATGCGTATTCCATTTTAGTACGAACAAAAGTTTCAAAGGCCAATTTGCGAAGGCTTGCAGGTGATAATGACAATGATCTTCTAAGATAGCCAAGAGTTTTTGAGGCATCGGCAGCTAGTTTGGTAATATGCTCGGTCCAGGTTAGTCTGCTTGTAACTACAACGCCCAGGTATTGGTAAGAATCCACTTGGGATAACACTGTTGAGTTTAATGAATACGGATGGATGACGTTAGTGTGTTTTCGTGAGACAGGCATGAACTTACATTTGGAAGTATTCGGCCTCATCATCCACTGAGCGCACCAGTTATCAATGATGTGTAAATCTTGCTGTAGTATTAGCTGATCTTCGGGAGTTGATATACGACGGTAGATGACGCAATCGTCAGCAAAAAGCCAAACCGTTGATGAAATGCCGGAAGGAAGGTCATTTACGTAGATTAAAAAGAGGAGCGGGCCGAGAACCGAGCCCTGAGGGACGCCAGAGATTACTGGAGTAGTATCAGAATGGGCACCACCGATAACAGTGAATTGCGACCGGTGGGTTAGGAAGCACTTAATCCATGATAAGGTCAGGGGATCGAGGGAAAGTGAAGAAAGTTTGTTGATTAGTCGTTGGTGAGGGACGAGATCGAAGGCCTTTGAAAAGTCGACAAAAATAACATCAGTCTGAAATGACGAATCAAGGTTGAGATGAAGATCAGTCGTAAATTCAAAAAGTTGAGTTTCGCATGAGAGCCCTGAACGAAAACCATGCTGCTTATGAAAAAAGAAAGAGTGATCATCGAGGTGACGAGCAACATGTAAATATATTATATGTTCCATAAGTTTGCAAGCGATGCACGTTAGTGAAATGGGGAGATAGTTAGATGGGTCAGATCGCTTGCCAGACTTGAAAACTGGTACAACCTTCCCAAGTTTCCAATCATCTGGGATGAAACCTTCAGAAATGGACTGTTCAAAAATTATCTCCAAAAATTTGCTAGAAATGCTATTAGTAGCCTTTAAAACTTTGGCAGGAATATTGTCAGGTCCGGGGGAGCTGGATATTTTTAATTTCTTTATCAGACTGCTGATGCCTTCGGAGGTAATGTCAATAGGCGGCATTTGTGAAAAATTAGATCTCGGCATGACTCGAATACTATGAAGTGGTTCAGAAGTGAAGACTGAAGTGAAGTAAGTATTCATAACGTCCGCCCGCTGTGGGAGAGGAACGTGAGAACCATCGGAGTTGGTTAAGGATATATTGTGCGTGTTATTTTTAGGGTTGAGAAGTTTCCAAAACTTCTTTCGATTAGTTCGGGCAATGTTAAGCAAGTCATCATGAAAAAATTTCTTTTTGGAGCGCTTCAGCAAGTGAGTGTATTCACGAAGGCATGCGAAATATCTGTTCCATTTTGATATTGACTTTGGTCAATATCATTGACCAAATGATATTGACATTTTGATATTTTTAGCAGCGCGAAAAAGACGTTTTTTTCTTTTGAGATAGTTTCTTTAGGAGATTAGAATACCAGGGTCGCTGAGCATCACCTGGAACACGAATAAGGGGGACGTGGTTATCGATAAGGGTTAATAATTTCCGCTTGAACAATAACCACTTTTGGTCAACTGTTCGGGTAGAAGCAGACAGGGTGAAGGAGACCAAAATATATTAAGTTCAGAGTTAATCGTCGAGAAGTTGGCGTTGTTAAAGTCGCGTATTAATTTTTTTGAAGGTCTTCGCGAAGGTAAGGCAATGGACAATGAAAACAATACAACATTATGGTCACTCAGACCGGGAATGCATGACACTGACTGAATTAAATCTGGGTTGGAGACAAGAACAAGATCAAGAGTGTTTGTGCCACGAGTTGGCATTGTGACTGATTGCGATAAGTTAAAAAGGAGACACAGTTCGAGGAAATCTCTGGATTGTCGTGAACTAGCACACAAGTTGTCCCAGTCAATATCAGGGTAATTAAAGTCCCCGCAAAGCAAGAAGTTTTGCGGGAGGAAACCGGGATGTCAGATCAAAAAGAACATTTTGAAGGTCATCTGTGAAAGAGTGGTCGCAGTCGGGTGCGCGGTAACAGGCTATAAGAATGTTTTTGCACGTGTGAAGGATTATTTCAACGCAAAGAATTTCAAAATTCGTACTGATTGTCACAGTTTGGGAGGGTAGGCTGTCTTTCACGAAAACTAAAATACTACCCCCTCTGCGCCTGTTCCTATCAAGTCTGTAAGACGTGAAATGGGTGTTGCTGTGACGTAATTCATTGTCGTGAATATCAGGGGTTAGCCATGACTCAGTTAGGATTGCGATGTCGGTGCAGGTGTCCTCAAGGAGAGTTTGCACAGCTTCCTTTTTGGGCATATAGCTACGGATATTCGTAAGCACTGCCAAATTTATGAAAGGGAACATGGGAGCGCGTGGCCTGGCCGCTCCGACGGCTGCTGGCATCGCGTTTAGGTCGACGAGAGAGGAAGAGAATAAAACGTTTATTAAGATTTTCTGCGCGACTATATCGAACCACAATCGCGTCATCTCGCGGCGATCAAAACAAGCAGCCATTCACGATATGTGTCGAGCTGCTGAGAAGATTTTAACCTACTTCCCCTTCAAGGCGTTTAGGCAAAAGGACGGCAATTACCCTGAAGGAGAGGAGTTTTCGATCTTGCCAGTGGTTTCATAGCATCAGTTGTTTTGCTCTCCACGAAACGACGCGAAAGGAGCCTGTGGTTGCTCTGTTTCCCACTTTAACGCGCTGCCAGCAGCTGCCGGAGCGCGATGGCCATGCGTTCCCGTGTTCCATTTCATAAAAACTGGCCATGTACATCAATCAACAATTCGCTTACTATGTCGTGAACAGTTTTTCTCCCATGCTCATCAAAAACGTACGCGTAGACGCCAGAAAGGCGGCCACAAGAACGTTGCCATAGTGTGAAGCTCTCTATGGGCCGTTTTATTTTAAGAAATTTTAGCATCGTCGTCATGAGCTTGCGTACTTCTTGAGCTCTTTTAGTTTTGGGTAGTACATCAATACAAGGGACAGCATGCTACTTTGTCATGCGCAAGCTTTTCGCTGACCTCCTTGAAGGGCTCCAAGAATTCGACGATCTCCGTCAACATGGTCGTATTGACATCTTCCAAGAGTATAGGTTTCCCCGTGAATCCAGGAGGTTCTCTATCGTATCATTCTGAGTTAGCACGGACTAGATCATAACGGGCATCGAATTCCACTAACTATTAGCACGTGTCACTTTAGTTTGGCACAAAATGCTTCAGACCATGCAGTGCATAACGTTCGCGTGTGCTCGAAGGCCCGACTCAGGCTTTTAACTGAGTGGGCCCGAGTCCGGTCCAGCCCTCAGCCGCACGCCCCGACTTGGCCTAGGCCCAAAATTTCAAGGCTGAGCCTGGCACGGGTCCACCGCAAAACGCGTCAGACGGCCCGGGCCCGTGCAGCGTTCTACAACAACCCACAGATGTTGACCAGATGGATAAACATTGCGAGCTTCTCCGTTTATGTCGGCCAATGAAAAATAATAATAACAATGTGTTTATACCTTGCACTATTAAATATACAACATATTGGGTGTGATTACTCCAATGTCATCTTCTACGAATTACGTTAGTGTGCATCGCGGTGCCTTGTCGTTACGAGAATTGGACGAAGTGGTGCACCAAGGTATATGGTACTTATGGTCCCGTAAGGGACCATATTGACCATACGCAGTTGCTCAACCCCAGGGCACACCAGTGTGATTTGATGAATGCGACACAAGTTGTAAAACCACATGCGAGAAGTGTGGCAGTTTGGGCTAGCTGGTATGACATGACGATAGTTATAGCGCGAGAACAGAACGACGACAGAGACAAGGACACTAAAGACACGAGCGCTAACTTCCAACTGAGTTTATTGCGCAGAGCACGAAAATATATAAAGTAGACAGAAAACCATATGACAAAAACCATGTGGCACAAAGAGCAATGCAGGAGTAAAGAAACAACAAAAGCACGGAAAAATGCGAAGAAATGGCCATAAGGAAACGAAACAGAAAAGTACCCCACTTTCCTGGGTGCTTGTTATGTCGGAACGACCAGAAGGTGTCTGAACGATCAACTGAGAGAACACGCTAACATTGTCAGAAACGGGAAAGATGGTTTTCTTGCTCAGCACTGCACTGAGTGCAACTGTGTGCCCATTTTCGACACAGTGACGCTGTACTACAAGCAAACAGATGAGCGCCCCCAATCGCACCCGAGCAATCGTCGAGGCCACGCAGATGGCACGCGAACAGGTGTCATGCATTAGCAAGCCCTCCGTGTCTCCGTCCGAGAAGTGACTGAGCTTCCTCGAAGGTTTCGGTGCGCACAAGTAGTTATATTAGAAGTGTGGCAGCTTGGGCTAGTTCGTATGACATGACGATAGTTATAGCGCGAGAACAGAACGACGACACAGATATAAGAAGGACGCAAGCGCTATATCCTTCTTGTCTCTGTGCCGTCGTTCTGTTCTCGCGCTATTACTTTTACTTCTGTTCCGTTTCCTTATAGACTTTTCTTCGCCTTTTTCTGCGCTTTAGTTCTTTGCTTTACTCTTGCATTGTTCTTTGTGCCACGTGGTTTTTGTCACATGGTTTACTGTCGCCTCTATATGTTTTCGCGCTCTGCGCAATAAACTCAGTTGAAAGTTAGCGTTCGTGTCCTTCTTGTTTCTATGTCGTCGTTCTGTTCTCGCGCTATAACTATCCGCATGCGAGAGAACCGAGTTAACCACATCCATATTGGCCACGCAAGCGCTGCTCGAAGCCTGAAGGGTACAGTTCCCTCGCAAGACACTTCAGCGCTACGACTGGTGGAGTGGTTGTCTTACAAACGACGGCTGCTTCGTTTGGTAGTGGTTCCCAACTTAACTTTGTTATGTTGACGGTCTTCGTGCGCTCGCGAAAGTATGGAGTTTAGGAAACTTCATGCGCGAAACGAACTGCTGTTTTCGCGTGTATCTCACTTTGTCGGCGCTGGCTCGCTTCCTCGTTCGATAAGCAGTGAAATTTCACTATAGTAGTGCCGAAGCTCCGAGCTAGGTGGCCGAATTTAACCGCACCTTCTTCAGCCGGGTTTCGTTGTCTCGGCATGGTTTCAAAAGGTGAGCGTTGCTTCACGTGTTTCTAGCTCGCTGCTGCGACTCTCGTGACATGTGTTTGTTTGGTACGCGAACATAAGTGTGTCGCGACATTTTTGGTGTCTGGTTTCGTTGGTGGCACTTATGCTGCACGGTCCCTGCGCGCAGCTGTGCTGTTATCGATTGATTGATTGATATGCGGGGTTTAACGTCCCAAAACCACTATATGATTATGAGAGACGCCGTAGTGGAGGGCTCCGGAAATTTAGACCACCTGGGGTTCTTTAACGTGCACCCAAATCTGAGCACGCGGGCCTACAACATTTCCGCCTCCATCGGAAATGCAGCCGCCGCAGCCGGGATTAGAACCCGCGCCCTGCGGGCTGTTATCGAGTGCAAATGATATTCTGTGGTGCCAGTCTCTGCCCGTACGATCGTACGTAGTTTAGAGGGGGTTTAGAGTTATAAGTGCGTAACGCTACCGGGTGCACTTGGCTGCTCTATCCATTGTAGTCACCAGAGCGCAGGTAGGTAGGTGTTACTGTCAGTTCAGGCGCACGAATAAACAGAAAGGAAGACAGGACAAGCGCTTTCTTGCTTGAACTGACAGTTATACCATGCATATCCAACTAGCCCAACTTTCGATTCTGTAGGTAGGTGTGTTAGCTAGCCACTGCTTAGTCTACCGTATTTAACAAAACTACAGTGGCTAGAATGGAGAAGTGTGATAAGCGGCAAAGGGCGCCTACAGAGCGCACTGCAGCCTCTGAGGAGAAGCCGCGTGGAGGCGTGCGCAGTCGTTTATTATTTTTTTTTTCGAAAAGTTTCGAAAAACACAAGGAAGACAACAAGGAAGATTTGCAAAGATTGATGGACATCTGCGGTAATGAGGGAGATAGGTTAGATTTCAGATTCAGTAAGGAAAAATCAGCAGTCATGATTTTTAATGATAATGAAGGTATATAGTGAGCTTAGGATACAGGAGATTACGCTAGAGATAACAGATAAATACAAATATCTGGGCGTATGGATAAGCAATGGGACCGAGCACCTAAGGGAACAAGTAATATACGTAATGACTAAACGTAAGAGGAATGCAGCAGTGATGAAAAATAGGGAACCGTGGAATTACAATAGGTATGATGTTGTGAGAGGAATATGGAAAGGGCTCATGGTTCCCGGTCTGACGTTCGGCAATGCGGCCTTGTGCATGAGATCAGAAGTTCAAGCAAGATTAGAAATTGAGCAACGTGGAATAGGTAGGCTTGCTTTGGGAGCTCACGGGAATACACCAAACCAGAGAGTACAAGGTGATATGGGATGGACATCATTTGAGGGCAGGGAAGCTAGCAGAAAGATAAAGCTTGAGAAGCGATTGAGAGAAGTGGGGGAGGAGGGTTGGGCTAGGAAGGTTTTCAGCTACTTGTACACGACGAATGTCGACACAAAATGGAGAAAGCGAACGAGGAAATTGACGGTGAAATACTTAGAAAACAGCAGGGGGCCAAACCAAAAAGAACTATCGGTTAAGAAGAAGGTGATGGAAGCTGAGACTGACATGTGGAGATTTGGCATGATTAGGAAGTCCGCATCAGAGATCTATCAAACTTTCAAGCAGGAAATTGCCAAGGAAAGGGTCTATGATAATACTCGGGGTAGTTCTCTACTGTTTGAGGCGAGGACGGGTGTATTGCGAACCAAAACATATCGGGCCAAATACGAAGGGGTAGTCACGGTATGCAGTGGGTGTGGAGAGGAGGAGGAAACTGCCGAACACCTGATAGTGTTCTGTAAAGGGCTTCACCCTGTAGTTCAGGATGATGGCCTAGAGTTTTTCAAAGCACTGGGGTTTAGGGACCGGGAGGGCAAAATAGACTTTAGGTGGGTAGAAATAACTAGAAGGAGGTTATCTGTTTGGTGGCCAAAATGAAGGCGCAAGTGAAAATGAAATCCTTCACTGCAAAGTACCAGTCCTGTACTTCACTATTTAAAGGAAAAAAAACAAGATAAATCTAGTTGTTGGTTCACTAAGGATTAAGGCTAGGTGGCGTGAGCCGCTGCCCGATTTAAAGGGTACAGCCATATCAATCCATCCATCCGTCCATCCAACGTTCCCCGCGAACGGGTTAGAAGCCCAGGTGGTCAAGTACAGGGTTCTTTTAGAGTAAATAGGCAAGCAGGAGCATAAAAACAAAAAGCAAATTGAGAGATAAAAAGATTCCACTGGTACATTGGATGCGAAGAGGGAAAAAAACAACAAAAAAGCACTATACCGAGGTGCTGTACAAATGCAACAGGGTCATTCCATGCCAAACGTCCCAGCCATTTCGGTGACCACCTTAAATGTATTCAGAAAAAAACGTGCTTATTTATTGCATTGAGAACGGTGAATCGCTGGAATATTTCAGACATAAAAACCATTTGGGTCACGTGGGTGCCCTCTGAACTTCCCAAAATGTCGTCTGAGCCTTATTGAGGAAACGTTTATTTTTTTAGGTATCGCTCTTTCTTTATATATCAGATTTGATGTATGTGTCAAGTAAAGGTGCTTCTGTAAGGTGTTTGAAACTCAGTAACACTAATGCAATTTTTCTCCTACATAGGCCTCCAAAAATTTAGCCAAAATGTGTTATGTTTGGGTTTGTTTTATTGCAACACTGCGCTTTATGTGAATATCTGAGCAATGAATACTTACTCAGCAGAAGGCATATTTTGTGGAAGAAATATACTTACCCCCATATTCATAAGTGTTCCTTGACTTGAACTTGGTGGCAAGTCTAGTTCAAGTAGAGCAGCATTTCTGAATACGGGGGTAAGACCACTCAAGTTGTTAAACTTAGCGAGAAAAAAAAAATGACGAATTTCGCACGAATTTCACAAAATCGACATTTTTGCACATGTTAAGCCACAATTTTCACTGTGTGCTGGTCCCGTCAAAAAACACTTTTAAGGGCCTGTAAAGGCATTCTTTGAATGACCAAGACCTTTTCTTGATACTGTCATGTCTGCGGGTCGTATATGGGGCACACAGGTTGCATGGCACTAGTCGTATTTTTTTATTTAACAATTTTACTTGCTTGTTTCCTCTACTGTCTTCTTGCATTCAAAGATATGAATCTTCCCTATTATGGCCAAGTTCATAATCTGCTTGTTAATATGTCGTCTTCTGAAAGCCAGCAAACTGAGGGCTACAGCAGAGTCCAGCCATGTGAGATTGATTGTGACGCCTCACCACTGCCTCAAGGGCACACTTCCATCCACCGTGGAAATCAATGTATATGGAGATGAAAATCTACAACTCATGGATGAGGCGTTTTGCGAGAGCATTTCATCTGAGTGTCATGGTGTCACTAATTTTAGAGCAATACCTTTTCTTTTGGCCATCGTCGGAGCCTGTCACTTCGAAATGCAGGTTCATTGTGAGAGACAATTACATTGGTGTGTCTAAATACACGTCTTTCTAATAATGAAATGACACTGTTTGCATCTTCTCTAGTGGGCTTTGCCACTGCCATGCGTGTGCACTGGTCAAAAGAGAGAACTGAGTTTGGCATACAACTCCTGCTTTTTGAGCTCGGCAAAATCTAAGTGCACAACTTCTAAGGGCACATCTGAATACAAAGGAATCGTCATCTGGCTTCGTTTGGGATGGAACTTGGCTTTCATTTCATTGTCTGACATTGATAACAGGTTCTTACGTAATTTTCTACATCGGCCTTTATGTTCTTCCAAGTAAAACGTTTTTTAATCTTCCAGTACGTTTGCGAAACGCCATCTTCACCACCCGAGTGTGGAGTGTCGTGATAGTGTCAATATTTTCAATATGTAGCTTTGAGGCTGACAAACTTTTCGTTAAAGAGACTGTTTATTTGTTGTCTTTGTGAAGTCATGGTGGACTCGGGCATGGAGCACCACTTTTCTCTGGAAGAATTTGCTTTTCTTCTTGTTTATTTTCAGGTATGAATTGCTCAGTGCTTTGAGTAGCTGAGACAAGGAAGAACAATGCTCTTTCTCAGCACGAAAATAAATGATGATATCGTCGACAAACATTTCAGAAGTGTCCTATGAAATTTTGAAGCACGGTGTTCATGAAGCGATGAAACCAAGCGCCTGAATTCTTTTAACTGAATCTTAGGCAGTTGTGTTCATGTACATCAAATGGCGTTTTAAATGCCATGTACCTCTTCGATTGTTTCTGGGGAAGTATGTGCCGATAACCTTTGTAGAAGCCGGTTTGTGAAAACAATTTGCATCCTCCAGTGTCGTTGATGATGTCGCCAACAAAGGGCATAGGGTATGGATATAGCAATGTTGAGGTGTTGATTTGGCGGTAATCGGACCAGAGTCGCAGTGAACCATGTTCAGGGACAATAGTTGTAGGCGACGTAAATGCTGACGTCCATGGCCTTATGATTCCAGCTTTTGGCACTTGTTGCAGTTATTGCTCCAACCATGTCTTCTTTTCATGGAATATCCGGTAGGCCCTTTTTCGCATAATGATCGTGTCATGAAGTTCAAAAGGCACATCAAATACAAAAGGGGTAGGCAGATATGCAGTCAGGCATATAAGCCCTGGAAAAACTGCCCGCACACCATGAGCGGACTAGGCAGTTCTCATTTGTGTCGGTGCCCCGCCGCGGTGGTCTAGTGGCTAAGGTACTCGGCTGCTGACCCGCAGGGCGCGGGTTCGAATCCCGGCTGCGGCGGCTGCATTTCCGATGGAGGCGGAAATGTTGTAGGCCCGTGTGCTCAGATTTGGGTGCACGTTAAAGAACCCCAGGGGGTCTAAATTTCCGGAGCCCTCCACTACGGCGTCTCTCATAATCATGTAGTGGTTTTGGGACGTTTAACTCCACATATCAATCAATCATTTGTGTCGGTGTCAAGATAGATGAAATAGTAGAGTCTAGAGTGATTTCATATTTACAAGAATCAAGTAGACAGCCTTATTTTGGTTACAGGGGTAAGGCTGTGCACCCACATTTAGTATTTTTTTTTTCTGGGAATCTCATCACTAGGCTAAT